GAGAGAGGGAAGAAATTTCTTGTATCTTCACTTATCCATTGATTACATCTCTGAAAATTCACATTACAAAACCATGTAAACCTTGTTGCATTTTACATTTTTGATACATTTATTTTGCGCTTAATTAAATCTAAACGAATTTTCAGCGTTTAAATGACAAGTTCAAATTTCGATTCACGATTAAATTCTAAGTGAACCATGATATATATGTACATTATGTATAAAGATGCAGGTCACATGCCAATCTGCATATAGTTGAGCCAATCCCTTAATGTTGTTTGCACGATGCTCATGGAAGTCCGCAATCTTCACCCATCGAGTTGGCATGAGAAAAATAAATAAAAAAGAAAAAATAATGAGATAATTTTGATTAAAAAATATAAGGTTTGATTGAAGAAAAAGAATGCAAAATATTTGAAAGGATATAAAAAAAAATCTCCAGATGTAGAATTTTAGGAATACATTTTGTAAAATTTTTCGTAAAAATTGATAATGAAAGAAGCGGAACAAGTCTCTCCTTTAGAAAAAAATTTAAAAGAGATTTGATATCACATTTAGGCTCTACTGTCTTGTAGTTATTTCACTAAATTTGGAGTGCAAATCTCATTCAATTATTAATTACATCTACTGAATCCTACACTAAATTTGAAGTGCAAATCTCATTCAATTATTAATTACATCTACTGAATCCTACACTTGTACGTTAAAGATTATTTTTTAAACATTAATTTAATAATTCAATGCATGTGGTTCGATTTTAGGTAAATCACCTAGCTAATTCAACTATTAACACTGTACATGTTATTTATTTATTATTTTAATTTTTATACAGATACTTCAAACCCTAAATGATGATATAGTCAACCCCTAGCTAGCTAACTATACCCTTTGAACAGGATTGTGCCAAATGGCCTCTTAAACAATTTCCATGGCCTCACCTATACACAATATATAGCATATTTTAAAACACTCAACGGTTGCTACCTTGCTGTACACTTAAATACAATATAGATTTAGATTGTATAGATTAATTTATATACAAATATGTTTTGTTTATGGGTTTTCTCCAATTACTCACGAAACAACTATATATTTAATGAACTTTCCAAAAACAAAAAAAAAACTATACATTTAATAATCAAAATAGTCAGACATTAGGGTATGACGTATCTGAAAATTTCTAGGTCAAACTTAGAGTTAGATTAATTAATAATTTTTCTTGGATGATCCTACTTGAGGAGACATGTTTATGAACTTAAATTATGTTGTTGGAAAAAGATAATAAATGTGTAATATTGATGAAGGAAAGCTTCCAAACAAAAGAAACTGATCACCTAAGACAAGGCCTGAGTAATTTGAAATTGCTAAAAGAATTTGGACTTAGTCAGTTTCTTAAGAAATCATAACTATTAAAAAGATAATTACATGTGTTAAATTTCTTAATTTGTGTTTTCTATTTTTTTTCATCATTTTATTAGATTCAAATCTCATTAACATTTTATCCTTAAAAAATATGATTTATTGTTCCAATTGGTAGGATGACAAACATAATTAATAGTATCAATATTTCGAAGCCCAAAAACTGAATTGTAGAAGACATGGAAAGAATTGAAAAATAACCGTTTAAGTTATAGTGATTATGTAAGAAACATTGGTGGGTGCCTCGTGTATTGGGCTAGTCCTTTTTAATCTTTATGCAACACACATTGATTGAATTTCTGGAGGGTAAAAAAAAAAAAAAAAAGTTGTGCAAAACACAAATATACATATAATTTAGTGCTTTTAAGTATTCAATATATAATTTTTTTTTTCACTATTTTCTTTTTTCAATCTTTAATATAATATATGTTTAAATTGTTTATTTTATTTACTTATGATTTCCCTTCTTCTTCTTCTTCTTCTTCTTCATTATTAGTATTATTATTATTATTATTAAATTTATTATTATTTTTTTATTATTTTTTAACTTTCCTATGACAATATCATAGAAGAAAATAATTGTATTTTCATATTGTCACGATCATCTAATTTGTTGCAAATGTAAATTTATTAAATATTAAAAAATTATTGACATAATGTTTTTTTTGGTTGACGAGGATAAATAATTTGAAGTTGACCAACTAACATAACCGGAGTCTATTTTTCAAATCCTAGAATACAAGAGATAAATATGACGACGATTCTGTCATTCATTTGGTAAAGGAAGATCATGATCTATCTAATTCGATCAAATATTCCTGATCGATAACCAACCTAATCTCGAGAATAACAATAAATACATTGTGTAATAATTAATGAGGGACGGGAAAAAACTCTCAAACATTTAATACAAATTTACTTTTCTGTTATACGATTTCAAGTATAGATTTGATCGTCGGAGAGTTCTCAGCTAACACTCACCGGTGTCATCCGATGTGACATAATTTTCATTATTTTGTAGGTAAACGCCATCGTTTTGGGTTGCGAGAATTTTCACATCAACACTAGTAATATTTAAAAATGGTATGCTTGCATATAAACACTATTTTAATTTTAAAAAATGCTATTATTTGCCTCACACTATCCAACTAATATTTACATAAATATTATTACAAACATCCTTATATATATTAATTAAATTCTAGTTAGAGCTAAAATTATTATATATATTTCAAATTCAATAATTTACTTTGATTCGAATATTTTTATCGTCTAAATATATAAGAGAGGTATGTGAAGAATACCTTCTTTTTTTTCTTTTTTTTTTTTCAAAAAAAACAAAACAAAAAAACTTGAAAATTTTATGTTCCCTTCTAGTGTTTGTGAAATTTTTGTTATTAATTTATCTTTATTTATAAAGTATGTCTAGAAGTCAAATAACAAAATGTCTATAATGCATTACTAACTGATAAAATTGCCTTTTGTTTGTGTTACCATATATATGTCGTTAAATTGACTAACTGCTACATCAAACTTTAAATCATATTAAAATCAACAGGCTTTTTCTTCATTAATATATCACATAATTCATTTTCTTGCTATTAATTTTTTTTTTTTTATATCGCGGGTTTTGAAGTTAACAATTTTTATATAATTAATTCCTCTAACCATGCTAGGTCAGCTACCTAGCTATATCTAGGGCAGGGTGATGATATAATTGAAGCATGCTTGCCGGCTAACTAAAAGTATCGACTGCCATTGCAATTTTGGAAGGGGGCATAGATCTCAAATCATTGAGCTGCCCTATTTATATTAAAATATTTGAACCTTCAAAAATAAAAAATTACACCTCAACAAGCATCACAAAGGGTTATACTCTCTTTATTGTAAATTGGAATTCAAATTATTTCCGTGCATTGATACTTCTCAACAAAATAGAAAAATTGGGAATAAATAGAATTTTTTAGATGTTTCCAGACGAATTGTGATCATTTGTATGTTGTATTGCAAAGATTTTCAATTCATCCAAAATTACGTGATTCTAACCAATCACAAGTTGCCAAATAGTCAAATATTTAATTTTTTGATTGCTAGGTGGGATGCATTGTTCCACGCTATATAAATTTTCTTTTGTTAATAAAATTCTTTTTATCCCACCCCTTTCATTTTGAATGGTGTAAAAAGGATTTTTGAATAGCAGGAGCTAGTGCCGGACCCATGATTTTTTTTAGGGGGTGCTGTTGAAGAATAAATAAAATTGAAGATAATTTTTTAAAAATAAAATAATACATATAAGATTTTTTTTTTTGTGGTTTGTCCGACTCAGATTTTTTGATCTTTTAGTCATATTTGTGCTTCCTAAATTACCATGTATGTGGGACAGTACAAACTAAAGAGTGAAGAAACAAGAAAGTCGATTTATTTTATTTTTTGATCTAAAAATATAAGTGAATGTAAAGATATATATATAGTGAGTATTTTTTAAAATTGAGTTGGAATATCAAAATATGCGAGAGAGAATCATGAATGTGACTGGGTGGTAGAGAGTCCTTAACCAGGTCGGTCCTGACAGGAGCTATCGATTAGTTTTTTTATTTAAATTTATTTTACAGATAAATTACACCGACCTTTCCTAAAGTAAGTGACTTTCCATGTGAAAAGTTAGGAATTTACATTAACCTCTCATAAGCCTATCTAAGCAAATGTGTAGATTGATAATTTGCATAAAAGATTGCCTTGTTGCATTGATAATTTGGCTCCGAATTTTGTAGTCTGCAAATAAAAAACAAAATAGAGAGCAAATTATAATTAATTAATTTATGAAACTTCGAGTTCAATCCTCTGAGATATTCCTTACAAAAGAAAGAACTTGTCTTTTAATTCGATCTCCTTTGTTGGTTGGATCCAAGAACTATTGAATCTTGATCTTGAATTGGGCTGTTGATAATCTTCTTCAACTATTTATAATTGAGAAAGACCGCCAATGATTTATGATCGAGGGTTGACGAAACTTGATCTCGAACAGTGTTGTGTAGTGATTTGTCAAATTTGTTGAATCACGGAGAAATAATGACACGATTGTAGTAATGAATAATAAAAAAAAAATGTTTTTAGTAAAAATTATTTTATTTTGTACAGTGTCAAAACCTTTTGTGAATAAAGGCCAAAAGTAGAAACACCAATTTGATGCATTTACATATTTCTGCACGATGTCAACTAACAGTACACAAAAAAAATAATAATAAAATAAAAAACTCATAAATGACTCTTTTAAATTAGTCATTATATTTTTTAAACTTGCAATATTTTTTTACTAAACATGTTTGTTTTTTTTTTTTTAGATGCTTCCGGTTACTATTCCAAATACCATACAAAAAAAATACTTATTTTATTTCGGTTAAAAATATATATTTATCCATAAAGATGCTTCCGATTACTATTCCAAATACCATACAAAAAAACACTTATTTTATTTCGGTTAAAAAAATATATATATCCATTTGATGTTTCATTTTATATCCTTGGAACTATTATTATTCGAATGACCTGTTTTAGTGGGGATCGCTATCAAACCCAAAATCAGTTTCAACCATGCTCCGGCCCAGCCCAAAAACAGTTCCAACCACGTTCAGCTCAAAAGCTTTGCAGCACACGCGTGTCCAGTATGCCAGTTGGAGATTGACATACTGGACCAAATTACCCTTCTCTTATCTAAGATTGACAGGAACCTGTTCCAGGTCGGAGATTGCGAGGAAGAGAGCGCTTTACCTTTACGGTGTGTGTGTGTGTGTGCGAGAGAGAGAGAGAGGAGAGATGTTCGGTAGTTTGAAGAAGTTACAGGTTTCGAACCCTGCGATCACAGCCAGCTGTGACCGGAACTTCGCCAGAAACTTCGACTCTTGTTGCCGGTTAAATCTCCGGCTACCGCCTCGCAGGTTCGCTTCTGTGTCTCTGCAATCCGACAATGCTTCATCTGAGCCGTCGATTTCCTCTTTCACTGCCACCGTCGGATCTTCTTCACCCTCCTCGCTTCAGCTCTCACAGTGGACCCTCACTCACCGCCACATTCAAATGCTAAACGTCATCGCTTGCGCGGTACTCTCTCTCCCTCCCTCTCTCTAGGGTTTCTCTTTTTTTTTTTTTGTTCTCTTTTTCACTATGTAACTTCTATATATGTGTTTAATTGCTCTCTCTATATATAAATTAATGTGTGAGAAATATAAGAACTTGATATTTTCATGAGGATTAGGAGATGAGGAAATAATCATTCTCATTATGCTTCAATTTTGGTTGTTTTAACTTGAGATATTCACTTATCAAGGAGAAAAATCCAACGGAAAATGTTTGGCCTAGTATTTATTAATTTTCCCTCTGTTTCTCAGCTACCAAATAGAGGGTTCAGTACTTGATGGTGTTGAACTAAAGAGACATTTCTGATTTTATTTGTCATCTTGAAGTCCCTCTATTGTTAGAATATTGTCCGTTATGTGTGTGTATATAATGGTTGTAGGTAGAAAATTTGGAGTATCTTGTTTGAACTTTGTTAATGGAGTTGAATATGAGAGGGCATATCTTCATCTTAATTTCTTCTGGTTGATTATAGGTTTTGACTGTGGTGTATTTCCATTATCTTTGCAGGCAGCTGTTTCCGCGACTTGGCTTTTTTGCTCTGCGATCCCGACTCTTCTGGTTCGTAAACTAAATATCTGCATTGCCATAGGATTTTAGTCTTTGAAACATGTTCTTCATTTTTATAATTATCTTACTTGTAACTAGTCAGCTGGCTATGGTGCCTGAATCAAATTGAGAGAGAAAGCCGACGTAATTCAGAATTTGGCTGAAAATTAAAAAACATATTATTGGAAAAGATTTGGACACCTCTTGTCCAAAGTCACCCGTAACTTTTCTAATGAAAAAGATGAATTTTCCCAGAGAGAGAAATGAAAAAAAGAACAAAATTCATGAAATAATAACCGCTTTATAACTAAGTTATACAGAGTATAATTTTTAATGTCATATGGGGTATGCTGAAGGCTTTCAAGAGAGCAGCGGAGTCAATGGAGAAGCTATGGGATGTCACAAGGGAAGAGCTTCCTGACACGATGGCTGCTGTTCGATTGTCTGGGATGGAGATCAGCGACTTGACAATGGAGCTCAGTGATCTGGGGTTAGCTTGAAAGATTAAGCACTTCTCTGGTAGTTGAGTAGCCATTTTGAAATTCTAGGTGTAACCTGTTTGTTTTTTTTGTTGTGCAGGCAGGAGATAACTCAAGGTGTTAAAAGCTCCACTCGAGCTGTCCGCTTAGCTGAGGAAAGATTGCGACGCTTGACGAACATGGCTCCATCAGGTGGTTAATATTTTCTGTAACTTTTGGTGTTTCATCATGAGTTGTCTAAATAATTTGGAAGGTAGAATTTTACTTGATTTTTACTTGGTTAGCTTTGATGCAGGACGTAACCATGGTGAAAACTGAAATACCAGGACCGGTGTTAGCCAGAACTGCAAGGGGCATACGGGAAGGGATTGTGAAGGGTCGTGGATTCTTGCAAATGTTTTTCACATTTACCCAATTCTCAAGGATGGCCTTTAACTACTTCACTTCTCGAGCTAAGCGATAGATTGAAAAACACAAGCTTCCTGGTAAAAGCCTTCTGTACATATTTTGTATTGAATGTTGATTAGTGGACCTACATTAAAAAGTCAAGGAGACTGGAGAAGTGAATTGCTTCCTGTCATTTCTTGTTGGATTTTCACGTTCAGTTTTACTTGTAGAGTTGCCACTACAAGTTCTGTGGTATTGATGATTTTCAAATTTTCCTTTTTTTCCCCCTTATTTATTTATTTATCTATCGAGAGAATTGTGTTACGCTTTCTTGCGAGCTAGGTGAAATCCAACACCTTCTGCTGAATGAACCTTTTAGTGCTTATATATAACATTTGACGTATTAGTGTTGCGAACACTTTTATTTTGATTAGATTTCTCACTTGTACGAGGCATCTGTTAGTTATGGCCTTATGGGCGTTATGGATGTCAATAGAGTAGGATCATAAGTTGATTTTGGTTTAGAACTTCTAATCTAACTGATTTGATAAGATTGCAATATGACTCTATCTTCATCTTGTAAGCTCCCAAACTTAAAGACCCTCAATCTTATGTTTTATCCAATAAGAGAGTTTGTATTGGTAATGCAGGAAGTAGGGTTGGGGCACTACATGAATGCACATTGGATGACAAGGTCTTAGGTGGATTAGATTAGGGTGAAAATTAGGATGGTCTTATCTTATGTGAGACAGAGAGAGAGCACTACATGCATACAAATAGGATGGTGACATTTCAGGAGGATTAGATTAGGGTGAAAGTTAGGATGGTCTTATGAGTGAGATTCAGATGGTCATTATAGAGAGAGAGAGAGAGAGAGATTGGGATAAGACCAAAGAATCATGAGGTTCTATACCCTTCTAAAACTTGTTTTCGTCAAAGAAAAAGTACGATTTTGTTTTCCTTTTTTTGTAAACGTTGAGGTCCAGTGGTTTTTCTTCCATTGGAGTTTTCCAGGTAAATCTGTTTTGCCTCTTTATCTTATACTGATTTGCTTTAATTTAATTTCTCAGTTATTATTGACACTGGTAATGCTTAATTAATTTTAAAAATTCGATCATAAGCAAGCTATCAAAGTTAAAAAAGAGATTTTTTTCACCCCCCAGGTTTGTGATCACATCTGTGAATTTTATGGGTTCTTTGATGTGTATCCTCACTTGGTATTGGAGTCTCGGGTAAAAAACATATTTTCCATTCAGTGGTTTTAATTTATTTCTATGTCTAACAATCATCCGAATGGATGGCCAATCAATAGTGCTTAGATGTATAACTCTTCAACAAACATGTTCTCTTGCGTTGACTGTATTAATGGTAAATAAACATTAATACAGGAAGGTACCTGAATGGCTGAATAACTTCCCAAAATGTGAAAATAAGAAAGGTACCTGAATGGCTGTCTACATGAATATATCAGCTTCCAGCTTCACACATTTGTCAGCCTCCTGTTCTTCCATCTCCTTGAACTCTTCCAAAATATTATGCTGTTGGACAGGAAGAAGCTGTTTACATATTTTGTTGTGGCTCCTTCTAGGATTTGCTGTTGCTGGTAGAAATTGAATCAGAGTACTCACAGATGAGGTCAGCAAATGTTTCAGCCCTTTATTACTGAGGTTGAATCTTCATTCTTTTGCTACCTGTATCCACTGTTCTTTTGTTGATGGATAAAAGTGTCGATGGAAATCTTTGAGGACCGAATTATTGCATAGAAAGGACCTATTATACCCAAATCAAAATCATCTTTCATAATTTCATAATCTTTTGAGAAGATACCAAATTTGGATGGAAGCTAGGTATTGGTGCCGATGATGATGGATACGACAAATTAAGGTGCAAGAAGGTAGGTCTTTTGCTATTATATTAAACTTATGCAGGACAACTTTAGGAAACTTGGAATGATGTTACAAGTGATGTTGTGTGTGTTTTGGCTATTAGATACTTGTAGGTTTAGGGGATTAAAAGGTTGAAGAAACTTTATAAGATTTGGGGATGGAAAGGGTAAGCATTTGTCTTAGTTTTAAGGTTTCTGGTTGCAGGAAGGAAATACTGAAGAATTGGTTGCTCGATATTCTGGACATAGACTAATTTAGGATTTTAGATGATATAATATAGGCCAAAAGGTAAGGGAAAAAGATGAGGGTTGTTGACTTGGGCTTGGTGTGCTAGGCTTTTGGGATAATTTAGGGGCCTGGGGTTTTGAACAGTTTTCGAGAGGAAAGTGAAAAATGTAAGAGCCTCACCTGAAATTCCTTACTATTCACCCCCAAAGAGAAAAATGTAAGAATTTCACCTGAAATTCCTTACTATTCACACCCTAGATCAGGTTATAGGCATTATAGCACAACTCAAATAGCCTTCTACTCTCTAGACACAGACTAATTTGGAGTTTAGATGATAAAGTAAAGAACAAAAAGACAAGGGAAAGAACTAGCTTGGGATTGACTTGGGCTTGTTATGGTATGGTTTTGTAATAATATAGGTGTGTTATAGAAAGTTGAGGAAAAAAAGAAAGAAAAATCTAAAAGCCCCCTCACCTAAAATTCGTTAAAATTCACCCCCTAAGATCAGGTTATGTCACACTATCGGATAATCTTCTACGCTCTAGAGTTCACTGCACTAGTAGGAAGTCCAACTTTCATTGGCCTGATCCTGTTGAGGATATTGGTATTGGTATTGCTTCTCCAAGACAAAACCTAAATTTAGTCTTTAGTAAAATTGCTTAATAATCTATAATCCTGCTTTTTTTTTCTTTGACAATGATTGTTGATGGCAGATCGTTGGATTACTGCATCAGTGGTGCGGGAAGCAGGTCGATACTTCTCTGGGACATGCCTGCCTATGTTTTGCTGAAAATATAATTTTGTGATTTATGCTTAATCCACTTGTTAACTGAGGTATAATAAGTGCAACGTAAAATGCGGTATTGGAAGGACGATTATATTTAATATTTCATTCAATAAGGGATCAATACCACATGTTGCATTTAGGCATATCTTCGACAGATTTAGTACCAGGGTTTGTGATTTGTTACTAGGGCTTTTGTGGACTTGGAAGATTATTATTAATAAAACTGATTGCAGTAGTAATGTTGGCTGCTTCTTTTTTATGCTTATTTTAATTACATCTTCACTTCCCTGATAGATAACACTTGGAATTCATGTTGTTAGCAAATAATGGAGTGCATGCATCCTATGTTACATGGGCACGGGTACAGTATTCGGTATTCATTTTAGTTAGTATATTTATTTTATTTTCTAGAGTAAAGCAATATTATTATCTAATATAGTAGTGTTTACTATGGATTTTTCACTCATTTTAAAGTAATACGGAGTAATATAATATAACTGAATGATTGGATATTTTTTTTTAAGTACATGTACCATCTTCCACTATTTATCAGAGATTCATTATCAGGAAGGCAATGAATTGTTGAAGTTTTACAATCTATTTATGACAGTTTCTCAACCATATATGTAACTTGATTCCATTTATCATGACAGTATTGAACAAAGAATTCATGTTTTAGTGCCACCAAGTACCTGGAAAATTTTAAAATTAATTCATAATCCATGCAGCTACAATTGTCACATTATTAATATAACAACAATTAAAGAATGACTTTCCGAAAAACAAAAAAACAATTAAAGTGAGCTAATTAACGTACACATTTGAATATACTAGATAACAACAACATATGCCTAACCCAAAGTATACCATGTACCAACACCAGAAAGTGACCAACTTTAGTATTCCATGTCTGGACCAACATAGTAGCACATTGGAGGCATAGGATCGTCCATAATCACATTCTCCACCATATCAAACATTCGATCATCAAATGCAGGATCAGTAGCAGTATTGTATGTGACATCAAATCCAATCCAATCTTCATCATTCATCATCATCGTCAAATTTGGATCATCATTCATCATCATCATCAAATTTGGATCATAAAAAGTTGGAGTAGTGTTTGTGACATTGCTACCAGAAGAAGAAGAAGCCATTGAATTTGCAGGCATTGAGAGATCCAACGGAACAGGCACGTCAAGATCATTGAAGAAAGAAATTGGGTTGTCAATAATATGATCCGATGATGGCATGAAATAACCGGAATAGTTTTCGTTTTGGTGATTAGACTTCAATTCTTGAAGTCTAGTTTTGAAGGCTTCAAGATTTTCCTCCAATTTAGTACCCAAGTTTCTCAATTGTTCCTTGGATAGATTGTTAAACCGATAATCCCAAGTAGGGTACTTGATATTCTTGGTGGTCTCTTCATCACGAAGGTTATTATTTTTCTTCTCCTCCACTTTTACAAGTACTGAAGAAGCACTAGTACCTTGATGATCATCACTTTCCTCCTTCATGTTGTTGGGATTGTCTTCTTCCAAGAAGTGAGACAAATCAAGTGTCCACTTCTTCCGATTTTCATTAGATTGTTGTTCGTATGATGTGAACATGTGCCGGATTGTATTAAGATCTTTAGGCCACATGTAAGGTTGTTGATCGTCAATCGGACTGTGATCCTTCGGTTTGGGGCCGTAAACAACTATACAAACATCAACATCACATAGCGTGGATAATTCAAAGGCCTTTTTTTCCAAACAATTTCTTCTCTTCCGAAAACTAATATATCGATCTTTTTGGTTTCTCATCAGTTCCTTCTTTATAAGTTCCTTTTTTGGTTTAGGAGCCATCTGAAAATTATACCATCTCAGTAAGATTAAATAAATCTTTAATGGCTAAACAAATATATATGAAACTCAATCATTAAATTCTGGGCCACAGACACCGCCGCGTACCTTTCAATATTGGCTTCTCTCTGCGCCTTTGCACCGCCTCTCTCTCTCGGTCTGGAAGATGCTCTTATGGATGATGGTCTACAGAGGTTAAGCCAATCTCTTTGTTTACAGAGGTTTGCTCGCCGCCACCAGCAGAGTCCTCGTACGCCGATATAGCAAAGCAAAGTTTTGAGTGAATTCCGTCGATCAACACCACCGTGCCGTCTCTGCGTAAGAGGAAATCTTGAATTTCTCTTCCGCGTTGCTCTTTTCTCTCTCTACACCGCCTCTATTTCTCTCTCTCTCTAAAAATATCTCAGAATGCAATGGGTGAAGAACTAATTTATAGTGAGAGGGGTTGGGTCTCAACTCTGATCTCTCTCTCTATTTTCAAGAATGCTTACTGGGTATGGAGTGAGATATATATATACATATATATATCTTCCGCGTTGCTCCGATCTTTGTCTCACACCACCTCTCTTTCTCTCTCTCTCTCTAAAAATATCTCTCTGTTTGCAATAATGCAATGGGTGAAGAACTAATTTATAATGAGAGGGGTTGGGTCTCAACTCTGCGATCTCTCTCTCTCTCTCTTCAAGAATGCTTACCGGGAATGAAGTGATGTATATATACACACACCCACACACATAGACACCTTTACTTGGGCACTAATTAATAGTAGATTTCTTTACGGCATACTTATAAAAAATAATACAAAATCTAAAAGATTGTGTTTAAGATACTCCTATTTTAGGACAGTTAGTCCCAATTACTAAATTTACATTATTAACCTCCTTCTTTGCTTTACTTTACACATGAAATTAATCTACTTAAAATTTTAGAACTAAAATTTCAAACACAACACTAAACTCAACCTCCAATTCCTATATATATATATATATATATATATATATATATATATATATTACGGGTAAGTAATATAATTTTAATATTTTTTTGGGGGTAATTAATATATTTTTAAATAAAGAATAAAAAATCTAAAAGATATAACTCGTATAAAGGAACTTTAATTAAGCTCAACATCAAGGTCAAATATGTTCTGATTAGTTTTAATTATATATTATCAATAATTAATTTGAAGTTTTCTATACACACATATGTCTGTATCCTTTTTCTTCTTTTTTTTATCCCGACCAACTAGGGGAAGAGAGGACTAGAACATGTATCCTTATTCTTTTTCTCTTCTTTTTTTTTTTATTTTTTATTCCGACAAATTAAGAGAAAAGAGGACTCAAACATGATTACACCCCGCACGCTCTACCATCTAGGTCAAGGTAATGCCCAGTTTGCATCTTATTCAATGCTAAGAAAATTGAGGATTTTTTTTTATTTTATTATTATTTTGAAATTAACAATGGTATAGATGTGGGTTTAATATGTACATAGTAGGGAAGGGAGCCAACCATAGACCCGCAACCCTAACAAAATAAAAATAAAAAAACTTTAATTTTATGAGGTTTTGGATTCAAATCGATCTCAATCTTACAATTTATTTCTCTAGATTTTGTGTATGGAGATAAGTTCCTTAGTTTCCATACTTTCTCAAATTTTTACGATTGAATCAAGCAATGAAATCTTGATTACGTGCGTCCTCAAATTTTTTCAATTCCACCAAACAAAGATCACTATAGCCTATAGATAGTATTTGACATAAAAAATTATTTTCTTTCAGTTGACATAATGACAAATGACATCGAAAAGATATTTTTTTTTAAGTACATGTCCAACCAAAATATCGGACACATATCTCATACCCATATATGAATAATATATATCTTAACTCAAGTATTTTGTTACTTTTAAAGAGTCCATGTAACATAACCTATATCCCTATCACTTTGCTCAAAGTCATTTTAGACTATTTATTGTGATGTATAAGAAAAATGTTGACCTAACATGTGCTACTATATCATTTTTTTGTAACTACTAATATTTCTTGAAGAGCAATGATAATATCATTTTTTTATAACTATTAATATTTTTTTGAAGAGTAATGGTATAGAACAACTAGTGGACTGTCGAGTGACAATCTCACAAGAGTGACCGCTACACCAATTAAGTTTTTTATTTTGCTTTGATGTGGGACTCCGAGTAAAGCGCCGATTACCCGATCCCGTCCGTTGAACTTGTAATTATCAAGTAAAGTTCCGACTTTGCCCATTGAATTTGTAATTATCAAGTAAAACTCGATTATCCAATCCCGTTCATTAAACTTGTAATTACCGTGTAAAATCCCGACCCGCTCATTGAATTTGTAGTTAGCAAGTAAACTCCGCTCACTGCACCAAAGTTGGTAAGTTTGATTCAAGGCGAAGTCAAAGTGGGACTCGACTGTGAAGTAAAAACAGTGCAACTGTAAATGAGATTGTAAAATCCTAAAATTTCGTACATTATTTTTTTTATTATTTAGTATTTAGTATTTTAACGTGATAGTTGAGATAATAGAGTTTTTTTTTTAAAATTTAAAACTTTAAATAAGAGTCCTAGGTTATCTCGAATACAGTTATATTTATCCTTTATATTTTACATCGTATCAGTACGAGGATATTATTTTTCATAAAAAAAAAAAGAAGAAAGAAATTACCGAGAGAGAAAGAGAGGAAGCGGGTTACTGATTTTTCGTTGGCAATCTGCAGTAGCCGGAAAAAGAGACGGTGACCAAAGGATCGGCTAGAGAGAAAGGTTTAACGATATTTAACAGGCAAGTTAATCTTGCATTGTACTCTTATATATATTTGTAACTTGCTTTGATAATCTGGAAAATCTAATTCATATGATTTTAATAAATGGTAGAAAAAGAAACTATTTTTAATGATTGTTAAGATTAGAATAGTATAAGTTGTGTAGGTTGTTATTTTGAATTTAATTGGGTATGATTAGGAGAATGATTTATTATTAAAGATTAAATAAAATTTATTTACAAAAATTTTGATTATCATTTCTGTTAAATTGTACAGATTGGTTATATTGTTGTTATATTAATTAATAAATTAATTTAAAGTTACATGTTGCTTTATATTATTCTCGTTGAAAATATTGGGATGATTATCATATATGAGTTGGTATTAAGTGCCATAAGTGGTACAGGAAAATAATTGAATGATTAGATTAGATAACTTATAGGTGTAATATACATACATATATATAAGTTTTTTTTTACATATGTGTAAAGCTCAGGTGTAATGGCTTATATCAGTGAGAGTAGAGAATGGGTACGGAACATGTTTGATGGCACTGTAGTAAATTTATGATTAGTTTGATCAGTGGTTTAGTTTGATGTGGAAACTAGATAATTATGATTATAT